CTGCCGACTACGTAAGAGCACACATCTCACAAAGCATAATGACACATTGTCATAACTAGGAATGCATTTAAAAGGTTTAAAAAACATGAGAGAACTCTGACAGCAAAATATATTGAGAATTTAAGAGGCGATATCTGCATAACTATATTTTTGCATATTTTTGTATAAGCAGAAGCTTGTTCTTGTTCCCATAATGCAGTGACTAGAAACTCTTTAACAGTATTTTATGTGCATGGAAGAAATGCTATCAAAGAGGAGAAGTACTACAATATTTTCCTTTAATATTGTTTATGCTTGGGACCATGATATAATACTGAGCCTATGGCTCCAATTCAGTGGAAACATATATATATACACATATACAGGATGTACAGGATTCTAACTTTCCTTTAAACTTTCCCTCGTGGCTACAAATAAAAATTTCACTAGAATTTTCCTATATCCGTAGATAGCCTGAAACAATAGATGACAGGGATTGAAGATTGCTCTGTTTAATTAAATTAGCCCCTGGACTTACTATTCTGAGACGAGGGCCTAACCTGGTGCATCCCGTCACAGCATAGCAAAAATACAACAGGAAGAGAGGAGTACAGGGGACACAGGTCCTTGGGATGATCTTTCTGACGTGTTTTCTCTGAAGAAGGAAGGCAAGACCACCCGACTACAAATGAGGGTGGAACTCCAGAAAGCCAAGAGCCACAAGGTGTCCAACGGGATGGCACCGTCTTATTTCAGTACTGTATGATAGTAAACATACTGTATGAGTAAACACTCATAAACTGATGAAAGACGTTAATGAGAAGCAAAGTAAAAGCTGCTAAGCACACAGAGCAAGGGAAGAGGACACAATCCCGGCTTTGGGAGCAGCTGGTCTTCATAAGCTTCTCCCCTCCTCTGCAGTGCAAAATTTTGTTCTTCCTATAATCCAGCCCAGGATGCTAGACCCCAGCAGGGATGATTTCAGTGTACTGTGGAGACAATCTTTTTCCTACATATATCCATAATATTGAACTTGTTGAAATTTCTATAAAACAAGACATTCATCTGTTGCTGTTATTTCTAAATACCATATCTTTACAGCATTTAATGCCAGTTTTTGCTTGTAGATTTTACCAGGCAAGCAGAGGCAAGTGAATACCTTAATTTACTTTCTCATGTGAAGGACACAATGTCTCTTTCACTAAGAAGCTATAGAACTGAACTATTACAAAACACCAAACATTTTGTTGCCATAGTTCATGTAAACATAATTTTGTTGAAGGAATATCATGGGAAATATAAAGCTGTCTGTAGCTACAAACACCACAAAGAAGCCCAGCAACTAACAATATTTCAGTTACTGGGATTTTTTTATCCATTGTTATTCACACAAATTTGTTTCAACTTATGGACTAAGGATTCCATCCAACAATAGATCTAGTTACATAAAATAACACTTAAAAAATGTAGAGCTTTATAATGCAGAAATCCTGGGTACAGCTGCCACTTCAAATGGAGGCTCCAGATCTAACTATTCACATCCCCCATCCACAAGTGCTGAGGTCTAACAGTTCAGCAAGTGAGACAGCCCCACTCATGGCAACTCACAGTTAGGGTGAACAGGAATGTAGGTAGCCAAAGGATCCGCTTCAGGAGGCGCTCTGAGGGAAAGTCTAATACATACAAATTGGACAGTGGTCCTCCAAAAACGTAGCAGCAATTGCTTTCTATTAACAATGTCATCTGGATTGTTACCTTTCCTGCAGTTCTATTTTGGGAGAAAATAGTCAGTGGTGCATTTTTGATTGACATTTCACAGGCTTCCGTTTGCATGTGCAGAAGCAAAACTTCAGCTTTCAACAGCAGGTGGCTGGAAAAGAATCAAGAGTTTGGATATCAATAATATTCAGATTTGTCATAATTGACTATACAACTAATGATAATAATATTTCACAGAAGTTTTAAGTCCTATCCTTCAGGATTTAAGTATCCTTTTAAGAATAAGCAACAACAATGGGATCTTTACTCTGCATTTACCTGTGACAGAGATGTACATCTTCCCCTGAACATCTGGTTCAATAATAGTTGAAGAGGATCCTGAACTAGTGAAACTTTAGTCTAGTTTGGCAACTGCAATTTGACAATGGTCTCAAATGTTAATAATACTAATATTAGTAAAAATTAAAGAAGAGAAAGAAAGGAGTTTTACCTATATTTTTCATTGCAAAGTCATGCTTGTTGCCATACACCTGACTTACTGAATCAGTCATGTGGTTTATACAAATGCTGATTCCTATATTATCATTTGGTACAGCTAAGTAGAATAAATAATACCTCTATTTTCAAGTGAAAAGTTGTTGGGTTTGTTGGTTTTTAATGGAACCACAATAAATATCAGCTTTCTTTTTTTTTTTTTTAATAGCTTTCAGTCTAACAGGTAATGGACTTCCAGTGAGATGGTAATCCACGGTAATCCAGACTGTTTCCCTGAATGAGCTAATTTGAGAGAAAGGATGTACACTGGATTCTTCATTTGGTTATTATTAGTATTATTGTTCTTCGAGAAATGCATACACCTTTGCTTCATTTTGGTCATTATTCTTCTCTCCTGCCAACAAGTTGCACATAAATAGAAGATGTGATAGTGCTTGGTTAATCTAGCCCTGGATGCTTCTTAAAGTTGCAGATTTTATTCTTTAATTTTAGGTTCAGAACAATTATAGTAACTGAGGATTTTTTTAATGTTTCTAGTTCTAATTTTTCCACTATCACTCTGACAAGTTAATTGTTTCTCACCTACACTACATTAAAGAACAGAAACAATCAAAATTTACCACCAGAGTTCATGGAAATGAGCTATCTCAGTGATGTATTAGCACACATTTTAAACTTTGTGTTTTGTGGATACTGAACTCCTTTGGGTCCCTACAGAATACGTGTGTCCTGTATTATTGCTGATAAATCCTGATTATGGTGTGCTCTGTTTGACTATTCTACTTTATTTCTAGGTCCTCCAGGTCCCCCCGGGGTTGTGATAGTGGAGGAAATTACAGACACCACAGCAACACTCTCCTGGAGTCCTGGAGCTGACAATCATAGCCCCATCTCCCTCTACAACCTGCAAGCACGCAGTCCATTTTCACTTGGCTGGCAGACTGTAAAAACAGGTGAGAAAAACTTTCCAATAGCATGAGTAGGCTGAGTTCAAAATTCTTGTTTCATGACGGTAATAACCACTGGCAACTGCAAAACCAGATTCTGTTAAGATAACAATGATAAACTAAAAGCATTGTTTTTTTTTTTTTTAATTCTTTTCACATGTCACTTAGTAAGAGCTCTGAAAGAATAATGCAAAGATACCTGCCATAATGCATTTGCAGATAGACGGAAAAGTCTCCCCTACATCCTTCAGTCGGTGTCTTTTCAGGAGTAGCAGATTGCCAAAAACCTAATAGTGATTTCTGACATTAGATTCCTAACCGCTATCATTTCTAATGATAGCCTTTAAGCCCACTTGCCATTGAGACACTGCATGTGAGCTTCAGTGACCTGCACATATTTTTTTACTGTCCGCAGTTCCCGATGTCATAAGTGGTGATATGGAATCTGCAGTGGCTATTGAACTGAACCCTTGGGTGGAGTACGAGTTTAGAGTTGTCGCGACTAACAAAATTGGGACTGGTGACCCAAGTGTGCCATCCCGAGTGATCAGAACCAACGAAGCAGGTAAGAAAATGATAAATAAGTTAATCTGCCAGGACTACCAAAAACCATTTCAGTATAATAATAATAACATTATTTTCTCCCTGGCAAACATCTCTGTGTTCGGACATCACTGCTCAAGGGTGATATTCTCTGGAATGGGCGGGGGGGAGGTAGTTTGTTTTAGTTACAAGAATATTATTCAATTTAAGGAAACTTAAACAACCACCATCCCTGCTATCTTACAGCATCTGTGCTCTCTAACTCTTCTTCTTACGCGTAGGTCTTTGCTGCGTACCCTCTGCCAGGCTTTCACTCCTCTACAGTTTCATGCTGCTTCTCTGTCCCAAGCAGCCTCCCTCTCCCTATCTGTCATAACTTCTCTTCTTGAAGGTCCACAGAAAGATTGCACAGCAAGATAACTCTCCAGGGGAGAAGTTTCTTCCAGGGAAACCATGGAAGCTACTTCATTTGAAATACCATCTATTCTAAGTATTTCTTTATCATGCATATACCACCATGAACTTTTTGTACATCTGAAGAATTATTGATTTTTTTGAAGAAATATTTTTCACTGCAGTGTCACTTTAGAAGCCCAGAAAAAAATAATATATACCCTATTTGAATCTCCTGAAAATGGCAATGGCCTCTGAAAGTGGAATTGCTGACAGCAACTTGGGTGGAATGAAGACAGCTAAAGAACAAGTGGTAATTGAAGGAATGGGAAGATGAGAAAAGTTTCTGGACAGCTAAAAGGAGGCATACATGTTTAGGTGAAAGCAAGAGATAGATGCAGGGTTTAAACAAAGCCTCAGAGCAGATTTCCTTTCCAGAACACTTTGAAGTTTTTCTCCGTTGCTAGTTATATTCCTCTTTGTTATTTAGGAAGTTTATCAAAGTTTAGTCTTGTTTTGATTTTATCTCAGCTGAGCAAATTTTAAGTAGCCTATTAATCATACAGAATAGTTGAATTCTAAATTCAAAGATTTCGATTTAATTTGAAGTATAACTGATATTATTATTTTAAGTATATTAGTTATGCTGGTTTCTGTTTTCTCTCTTCTCGTTAAGGGAGATTATAAGAATTACAAGCTGTAATGCCAGAATGTATCTACCCCTCCCATTCTGAACTAAAAATTCTTATCTTTTAAAATATATTAATCTTTTGCACCAGTTCTATACTTCACACATCTGAGTACATACTACCCATTAACATTCACAACAGAACATTTGAACTGATTTTCTTAGATATCCTTATAGAACCAAAGAATCAACTGAATAATTAAGGCTGGAAGAGATCTCAGGAGGTCTCTAGTCCAACCTCCTGCTCAGAGCTGGGTCAACACTGAATTTGAGTCAGGTTGCTCAGGGCTTTATCCAGTCTGGACATGAACACCTCCAGGGCAGGACACTGCATAACTTCCCTGGGCAACCTATTCCAGTAATTAATTAGTCCCATTGTGATTTTTTTTTCCTTATATCCAGTCCGAACCTCCCGTTTTTCAGTTTATGAACCCTGCCTCTTGTTCTCCCACCAAGCACTGCAGTGAAGAGCCCATGGACCTCCCCATAGGAGCTGGGGGCTGCTGTCAGGTGCCCCCAAAGCCATCTCTACTCCAGGCTGAACAAGTCCAGCTCCCCTAGCCTCTCCTCACAGTGCATGTGCTCCAGCCCTGACCATGCGGTGGCCTTCTCCTGAACCCCCTCCAGTTTTTCAATGTCATTCCTCTGCAGGAGGGCCCAAAATTGGATGTAGTATTCCAGTATGCAATCTAATAGACCTATCTTCAATTGTAATAAAACATATTTTTTTTCTGCTTTAAATAACTGCATAGTTGTTGACTTATATTGCATTTCACTATGCAATCACAGAACTGCATTCAAAGCCATTCCATTCCCATTCATGCATGTTGAAGGATGCATCATTTCCAACTCCCTCCTTCATCTTCTACAAGCTCCCCGCTGTGTGAAACTCAATGACTTTATAGCAGAAGCTTCAGATGCTACATACTTTGCTCCATTACATTTTAAAGGGAAGAAAAGGAAAATGAAATAAAAAATGCATGAGCTACTTTCATGTCAAATAATTTTCAAAAAAGTTTATCCCACCACCATTATGCTTTCCATGCCTTTGTACTGTATGTAGCACTGGCTTTGAAAATACTCCTCAACCCAAATGTTCTTACTATGTCTCTCTTTATTCAGGCAATATAGATCAGAGGGGATACAAACGTTCTGGCAAAAGTTTATTTTGTGTAATAGGTAGCATTCCTGGGCTTATGTTCTTTCAGATTTATGAATACATGCCCTGTTTTTCAGAGGATGGTTCAGGGTTTTAATGGACCAGATGTATTTAAGCTGTGAATAGAATGCTTTTCTAACTAACTGAATTTTGAAAATGTCAGACTTTTATCTAGCTGTCATTTTTTTTATTTTCCTTCTTTTTCTTTCCCAGTGTTTACCAAACAAAAGTGGTATTGAAATATTCCTACAGCTCTACTAAAAGTCATCTTCATATACATCCATTTTCACTTTTTTTTGGACAACCATTGCAATTTTATCTCTGAAAAAGTGGTCAACCAATCATACTAATGAGCAGTCAAAAAAACCCATTTAGGGACAGTCAAAGCATGCAGAGTAATATGTATTTTTCACCCAGTGATCGGTATTTGCTTGTGGGTAGTAATCTACTATTGCTGCCATCTGGAAGAACAGAGTCTTTAACTCAAGTAGTGACCATCTGTGACCAAGTACACACCAATATGGGACTCCTCCTGTTAAAAAAGCATTGTAGCCGATTACAATGCAGGTCTTGTTCAGTGAAAACTTGAAAATATATAAATTAAAATAGGAAAAGGCCATGCTAGGTGTTTTTTCCTTTCATCTTCCACTTGACAGTTAGGATGACCTTTTTCTTCTAGCAGAGTTACATCTACGCAACTGCTGTGTTAGCAAGGAGCGTTTTGTAGCATGACACTAAATTGCAAACAGGTGCCACCAAAACAACTTAACAGCCTTCATAGAAGTAGAAGCTGAATTTATTTGATGTGCCTGTTTGACACAACGTGGTAAAGCAAAAATTAGATGTCATCACCTCAATTTCAAAAGACTTTTCTTTCAAGACACCCTTTGGTTTCCACTTGTATGGTGTTTGCTGTTGTTGTTTTTAGTGAAAGACATAGACTGGCAGATGATCTCACACTTTTTTAGTCTATGGAGAGAGTGAGAAGACAGGCATTATAGTAAGATATAACTTCCAAATTTTATAGAATCCCTTTGCAGATGCGAATGGTTGTAAAGTAGGAGCAATAACCTGATAGACTGTGCTTCAAAGGAATCATCCAAATAAACAAACAAACAAAACCTGTTGTGCATACAATTCTTCAGAAACAGCATGTTGCTCATAAAATCAGAAAATAGTATGTTATATACTCTTAATAATAGTATGTTATATACTCTTAATAATAGTATGTTATAGTGCTCTTAAGATGTCCATTTCATTCAGGCAGCCACCTTTTACTGATCTCCAGATGTTTCTGAAGGCCAAGGTATTCTTTGGCACATAAATCTTGTCTGTTCAGCTCTATCCTTTGAGATTACTTATTTAGTGATCTTGTGAATTGTTATCCTCAGGACAGTTTTCAGTTACCAAATTTAAACTGACAGGAAAGCCAGTAATAGGTTTCATTGGTTTTCCTATATGGTTTTCCAAATTAGCACATTAATATCTATCCGGGTGAACTATCCAGTGATCTATTCTCTTTCTAAATCTCTCTCTTCCTAATTTGTTGTCTGAGCGCTACAGGGGGAAATGGCTACGAACACGGGCCCCAGTTTTAATACCATAGATCTCAATTCTTCAGAGAAGTGCAAGTGAAAGGACATTATTTATTAATTAGAAACGCCAGCCTCTTTACCCATGAAGTAGCAGAATCACCTGGGTATCTGCACTGATGTTAGACCTGCCCTACAAGTAAAACAGGCAGGCTGGCCCTGCATGGGCAAAAACTGCAGAAAAATCCAGCTCCCAGTGGAGAATGTGACTCTGCCTCCTGCTCAGTTGAGAGCCGAGATCCACAAGGCTGAATGATAGCCATAAAGACAATCCACAGGGGCAGCAAATGTATGATTCTGCTTCCATTATTTTATACTTAAATGGAAATTGGCATCAGTAATTTAATGGCGTAAGCTAATCTGACTTGAGACTAAAGTCTTTTTCTCCCCACACCTCACTTATTTTATCACTTCTTCCCCAAGATGGCAACAGCATTTTATATTAGTCCATTATCTAAAAGTACCCATGGAAGCAATACTTGGGATGGTGTAAGGAAATCAACAGAATAATAAACAGGTTTCCACTTGCTTTAATTTTCTAATTAAACCTTAATCTTGTTACTTAGTTCATATTTAGTTAACATGATTGCTTTTCAGAGGTACTTTCATTGCAATGGATAATACTGCAATTTTCTGGCACATCTAACTTATAGCCAGCTGCTGTATTTCTGTTAGTTCTAGCCTTGATACATATTTTACAGGTCCACAAGGTGAAAAGAGCCAATAACATGAATATAAACATGCCTGGCATTCCACTAAGGCAGTCGGGCATTTGAAGCCTGAGGGCAAAGCATCAATTACATTATCTATTCATGGGGAAACATGGGGAGAAAAGAAATTGAGTAGAATCAAAGTTTAACCTGGTAATCATGCATGCAAACTCAATTCTGTGAGATAACAATATAATGCAATTTATTAGTAGCAGAATGTATATATAGAATTAAAAAATAAATCACCTTTATCGTCAACTAGAAATTCCTTATGATATAATAAGAAATATATATGTCCCAGCAGGAAAAAAAAAAAAAAGATTATCTGTCTTTGGACTGTTTTCATTTTAGTTTTTTTTTTTTTTTTGTGAACTGGATAAAAGGAATTTCAGGTTTTCCCATGATCATAGCCAATTTTATTGTAGAAAAGAGTAAATAAATTGCTGCATCTATGACATCTGGGGGGAATTACCCGACTAA